GGGGGCTTCCGCGGGCGCCGGCTGCAAAGCGGGGGCTGGGGAGGCTGGAGTAAGTAGTAATAAAAAGAACTACCCACGCAGCAACGAAACCTCATTTCTTCTCCCCCTCCCCACCCAACGAAGTGTCCCGGTAAGCTCGTTTTTTTGGAAGCGCACCTTAATGCGGTTGTAGGATTGCTCTCCCGGAGATTTTTCTGAGTCCGATCGTACGGTCGTTCACCGAGGGCTATTATATAGGTTTGGGGATGGAAAGTAAGTTCTCAGATGCACAAGGGTAGCTGTGTTCAATATGTTATTCGTCAGCTGATAAATAACAAGGTAATTCCCTGAGAAGTCTTTATTTAAAGCATGGTAATGAGTATAGTGTAGACTCAACCCTCTGGAAAGTTGCATCAGCAGCCATAGATTATCCAGTTACATATGGTGAGGGGGTGGCTTCTGCCAAATTGTAGGCATCTGGCTTTCAACTTACGAGTTATGTATTGTGGAAATTTTTTGTTCTTTTGTTAGCTGCCTTCATAGTTTTCCTCGTTATTTTATGTGTTATTTCTTTAACAATTTTCTTTAGGTAAACAAACTTGCTGTACAGCAGCTTTTTTTTTCCCCCCCCCTTCTCTCTTCTCATGGAAATGTCCTTTGTAGATTTTGTGCAAAGAAATTCGTTGTTCTGTCTTGACCCCTAGGGTCCAAAAGGGGCTCTTACTAGAACTGCTGCAGTATCCAACTCCCCAACAGAGAGTACTGAGAACTGGGTTGAGGGTTTGAGGAGAGCATAGCTGAGCTCCATATTATTAATCTGTTTTCCCCTCTTGAAAATGCAACACTCTTAAATAGACTACTGTATCACCTTGATTGTTTTACTTTGATCGTGGGCTGATGCTGCATATGAAGTGCTCGGACTCACTGAAGCAAGAAAGACGGTGGACAGAGCTCTTCATGGCTATTATAAGGCATATCATAAATGTCTATTGTCAGGCATGTGCAGATTGTCAGATAAAGAATGTTACTAACAGAATTGGATTTTATCAAGCACTTTCTAATAGTCTGTGTGTTCCCTTTGACTTTTTTGCTCTCCTCTGGCATGAAAAGTTTGCATGTGAAACACGGTGGTTAAAACTTCAGTCTCTAACATCAAAAGCAGCACAGTTGTTTCTGGTTGACCTCTTGGTGACCAGCTGTTACAGTTGACAGGCTGTGCAGATACCCTGTCAGCAAGGTAGATTTCTTGTTCCTGCAACTGTCCAGAGCATGTGGTTTCTTGGCAGATCCTGGGGTGTGTGCACAGAGCATTTGTTTTGGTGGCTTTTCTGCTGCGGCTCCTTCTCCTCCTGCTTCCTTTAGGAGGAACTAAGAATGTTCTGGCTCTCACACAAGAATCTACTGAAATCAGAAGCTGCAGATCCAATGGTTAGAATCTAATTCCACTTTGATATGCGAGAGCTATGGGAGAAGAAAGAAAAATGGAAGTCTGAAGCAGCAGATTACCTGACTAAGGCTCCTAGGAGCAACCTGTGTTTTTTGACAAGTGGCAGGTTATTGCAATGTGGAGCAGCTGGCATATGCATGATGCATCAGTGGCTCCAGATAGTGGGAAATTCCCTTAATTAATTTATTGATTTTTTCTTTTGTTAGGTATTATTAGAAGCACAGAAAGAATTGGTGGACTACAAAGGACTCGGTATAAGTGTTCTTGGTAAGACTTTAAAAATTCTGTATTTTTCAGTATGTAGATGTTTAATCAAATTGTTTAGTAAGAGTTTTTGATCTTGGTATCTTGGCTCCTTTTCTCTTCTAATGCCTTATTCTGGTAACTTGTATGTCCAGAGAATACTTTTTCATGCTGCTTTTCTACTATTCATCAGGAAACTATAAAATGATACACAGTCAGATGTTTAGTGATCCAAAACAGAGGACTAGAGACAAAGAAGATAACTAATCAGATGTAAAACATTAGTACTTGTGGATCTTTGGGCAGGGATGTGTATGTATGTGTATGTATAGGCAATATATAAAAAAAGATTATATATATATTAAAAATACTATATATACACACATATGTATGTATACACATACTATACATGTGTGTATATATATGTATATAGATCCCATATATAGTATCTTATATACTATATAGCAAAATGCTTCAGATGTATTTAATGTATAGCATCCTTCCCATTAGGAAGGCAATGCTGTCCTGTCATAAGGAGGAGGTGTCTTCTGTGCCATATGGGTAGCTGACTGGCTTTTCAGCCCCAGTTGCACAAAAGCTTTATGCAAGAAGATGGTCAGCAGTTTACTAGTCCTGTGAAACTGTTTGGTTGCTAAAAGTAGAATGTGCAGCAGTCTCTGCAGGATTGGGATTCATGTTTAAATTGTACGCTCTTATAGATGGAAGAAAGAATATGGATTTAATAAAAGGAATTGGTGTTAAGTGTTGTTAATGTTTAATTAGGATTACTGCATGGAAGAAGCCTTTTTTTAAAAAAAAAACAACAAAACAAACCCCTGTTCCTTACTCTATGCTTGCTACAGCACTAGTAGCAGAGAACGTTCTTAGAGTGAGGAAAACTTACCTTTCTAGAGAGAGTATTTTTTCACACAGATCTAGCTGTTCCTGGGGGTAGTAAGGTCATGTGGATGCCAAATGTGAATTGACTGGATTTGCCTGGATCTGGACAAGACTGCAGGTGTAAGTCTTGTGTGGGTAATTAGGAAGGCTCAGCAAAAAAAAGGAGTTGGAACTGGGAACAGGAGCCTTCAGGCATTTTGGGTCTGTAGTGTAAAAGGTTTAAAGCTTAACACAATTTTTAAGTAGCCTTCATGTATTACCGTTTTGTTTCACATTGTTTCGTCTTTCCTTTCCGCCAAAGAAATGAGCCATCGGACCTCAGATTTCACAAAAATTTTAAATACAGCTGAAAATCTCATGCGTGAATTGCTGTAAGTGAATTACTTCCTGCTTATTTTTGTTTTATGTTCTTGCTATTTTCACCAATAATGACTAATGCGGAGACCTTTCCTTGAAGTCACCTGTTTGTGTGGTGGGTTTTTTGTTTAGATACTGTATCTGATAGAGTCATAATTTTGGAGAGGGCATTGGTCTTCTGTTTGTCTGATGCTGATTTATTTGAATGTGACAAAGGGCTTTTATCAGGTTAAGATGCTTTTTATATGTCTACTATACACTGACTAGTTGAATTTCTTCTAAAATTTTAATTTTTGTCACCTTCATAGAATTTGTGAAGGGCAGCAACTTTCTTCAAGAAATAAGTGGAAACAATAGAAATCAGTTCTTTAGTGGTATAGAGGTGATCTGCACATTACTCATAAGTCTGATCTTACTAGCATAATCTCTATGGATGTGTTTTAAAATCACTGATCAGGAGCCCTTTTCCTATTTGTAGTGTGACACATTTCTAAAAGTTTGAAATAAATACATTGTGTATTAGAATTAACGTTCTCATAGTAGCTAATAATGAAGGTCATCTCATATAAAAGCTTGACTCTCAGTCACAGCCAGAATTATTGACAGAGGGATTTCAATGAATAATTTGAACAAGTAATTTTCGTGACTGTATGAACAACTCATTATGGCACTTGCTCTGCAAGTACAATTTACTGTACAGTTGCACTTGCAAATTGAAGGGTCTCAAAACTGAATTCTACTGTGAGCACTTTGGTGTGAAGTTCTTAGCCTGACAGAAAAGCCATGAAGACAAAATTACAAGTGAGCATTAATTCTGCTGGAATGTCTTTCAAGTTTGTGTGTACTATGATAGTAGAGCTACTCAGGAATGAATTTGTTTAATGCTATCCAAGGGAAAAAAGCTTGTTTTCAGCAAATTTTTATCAGTAAAATGTATAGCATTACTCTTAATACTTAAGTTGTTACTCAAGACCAGTGCTGAGGTAAGTTAATGGGATTTGGTCTAACCTCTTGGCATAGAGTCTTTTAAAATGACAGTGTTCTTCCTCAGTCACTGTTAAATGCGTAATATCAAGTAGTATGCATCCTGTGTCTTCTGGGAATAATATAAATGGTTATTTCTTGCATGCAGAAATATACCAGAAAACTACAAAGTTATTTTCCTCCAAGGAGGTGGATCTGGTCAGTTCAGTGCAGTCCCACTTAATCTTATCGGTTTAAAGGAGGGAAGACATGCAGATTATGTGGTTACTGGAGCTTGGTCAGCAAAAGCAGCTAAAGAAGCAGAGAAGTATGCCAAAGTGAATATCGTTCACCCAAAACTAGGAACCTATACAAGTAAGTTGATGATTACATCCATCCCTGTGAATGCTTAGCTTTTTGCATCACTCTAAAAATTGGTCCAACTCAGCTATTGAATTATTGAACATTAACTAGTTAGAGTTGACTGCCCAGCACTCAAAAGATTGCCTGCCACATCTCCATGTTCATCACTGGGAGATCTGCTAGATGGCTTAACAGTCTCCACCAGAAAAGAATTGTGAAACTAGGCTGAGCAGATCCCAGAAAATAGGTGGTAAGAAGCAAATGTGTATCGGTAGGCAAATGGTCTGGGCTGTCTGATTTTTTTTTTTTGTTATTTAGCTGAGTTCTTAAACTATTTGCAGGGATATTGTGAGGCATTTCAGTTTCAGGTACACTCAATGAGATTGCTCTGAAATTTAGAAGCATGTCTGGGATCTTAACCTTGTTGGCCCAGGAGATGGGAGACCTGCATTCTGTTTCCTTCTTTCAAGGGTTCCCAAATACTTATGTTCCCCACCCATGTGTCATAACAGGCAGTTGGCTCTGGAATAGAAGATGCATTTTCAACTCCTCTTGAAGCTTGTTACTGGACATGACATGATCTGAATGACCACAGTGTAGAAGGAAGACAAAGGTTAACTGTAATTGAGGCATTGGGGAATTTTTATGAGAGGCTGTTTCAAGAACACTTTAAGTGTCTAATTTGTCACTGGATATATATAAATAATTCTTGGAGCAGGGACACCTGAGTTCTGGTTTCTATTCCCGCTAGTCATGCGTACTTTTCTTCCCTCTGGTTCAAATTATAGCATTTGAACTGGGACGAGTGGCAACAGGAAAGACAAAGAATATCCCCGTACAAGTTAGTGCCCTAATCACCAGTTAGTATATTAACTTGGAAGATAAGTTTGTATCCTCTGAGGCACAGCAAGGAATTGAACCTACAACTTCCCGGTCTAGGGGAGTGTATTCACCATTTGGCAGCTGTAGATAAGGGGAAATGCAGTAAATAATGGTGGAGGCAATACTAGCACTTCTTCCCCCTCCTGTTTTGGAGGAGAGAATAAAGAAGAGCAACCATTTGTTTTGTGGAAAACCTGTTCTGTGCTGTCAGGACATGCCTGTATATTGCCTGTTGGCAGAGGAAATCTTAGTTTTGTAAATCAGTTGCAAAGCTTAAATGGGAGGTAGGTAGGTAACCTTGTGTTCAGCTTGGACAAGACTGAAATGCTTCTGGGGATGCACAGAAATACAGCTTTAGAGAACTTTGCCAGTGAGAATTTGGACGCTTCAGTGATTTCAAAGGCATCAGGAGGATTCTTGGACCCAGTGCCTGAATTCCTCTGAAATGCTGTTTTGGACCCCTAGGACAGTAGTTTGTAGCCTGAGATTGCAAATCTGATGAAAATCCCTTGAGGAATAAGGGCAGAGAACCAGAAGGGTGTTTGCCAGTTTAATGATGGCTCACCACAGAATTTTGGGCATGCACTGGTGTATTTCCCTTGCAGATAAACTATATCTTCCTGGTAACAAGATAATTACTACTGTATACTGCAAAACAGTTCTGGGTTTGCACTGTGTTCAAGTAAAATTGCATGCCAGGAAAATGACTTGTCTCCAGTGACCCCTGGTTTTCTTTTTTGTCTGTCTCAGACATTCCTGACCCAAGCACTTGGAATCTTAATCCAGATGCATCTTACGTCTATTACTGTGCTAATGAGACTGTTCATGGTGTGGAGTTTGACTTTGTACCTGATGTCAAAGGAGCAGTCTTGGTTTGTGATATGTCATCAAACTTCCTGTCCAGACCTGTGGATGTTTCCAAGGTACAGTATCGGACACGGTGGCTGCACAAAGTATTTTCAAACTTGAATGCATATAATCAGGCACTTTGAAATGTCTGATGGCCAGAGATGCTGAGCAGTGAATTTAAGGAGATCGTATTTTGTTAATTGGGTATCTGATGGTGGATACAAATGTTGAAATTTCAAGTTTGAGATTTCAATGTCTATCTGTTGTCCTTTTTTCAGGAAAAACATATTGAACTATGTTGAAATTGTTCATGTTAATAGCAGTCCAAGATTATTTGTCTACTGTGTAGTCTTCACTGATGCTGTTGCTGAAAAAGATACTTTCTGAATCATGTTTAGTCTGTAGATAGTGTATATGGCTATAGGAGGGTACTGAGAATCACAGTTTTTGATCCTGCCTTTTACATGGAAAATCTGTAACCCCTTTTAAGCTGCTAAAGCTTCCTGTGCCTCACAAGTACTGTGTCTATTTCATAGATAATACAGAATCAGAACATAGTACTTGCTTATGTTTGTAAAGTGTGTTATGAGTGGGAAGTGTTACTGAGTAGTGAAGTAGCGTGTTTGACCTTTCTTATCTGTGTGTAGCAAAAAAGGGGAATTGTTAGTGCATTCATCTTGGCCTTTCCTGATCTGCCTCTTTGAACAGATGTATTATATGATGCCTGTTCTGAAATACCAGATCAGTTGAAAATACTGTGATCTATGTATGGATTTATTTTTAATAAATTTGCTTGGAGTAGTGTGAAATGGGGACAGGCTGCCTTGAGAATTATTTGTGACTACTAAATAAATGTTCAGCAAATCATTGGGAAATTTGTGATCTTCCTCAGCTGAATGAAGATACATGGTTCTCATAATAGACATAGATGGGATAATGACTGTAGCTGTAAGTGCACTTTGAAGTCAGAACTTCTCCTAACTCTTCTTTGACCTACAACTTGCTCATTTTCAATACGTTCTCCAAGCTGTTCAGCTGAGTTGTATGCCTGTTGTATAATGATACTGGTGTATTACTCAATTATAAGATCTACTTGTGAATGCATGTAGCAAGTCCTTTTCTTCTTTCTGTTAAAGTTTGGCGTGATTTTTGCTGGTGCTCAGAAGAATGTTGGCTGTGCTGGAGTTACTGTTGTAATAGTGCGTGAGGACTTGCTGGGATTTGCACTGAAAGAATGCCCTGTAGTACTGGATTACAAAACACAAGCAGTGAATGGCTCTTTGTATAACACTCCACCATGCTACAGGTAACTTACCCTGCTATTTAATATCTCTTATTCAGAAAGCTACTGCACTGCCATCTGCTGCTCTTACTGAGAAAAGTTTCAGAAGCTGAGTATTTGCCTTCAAATCACTGATATATTGGAGTGTTTCCCATGATTCCTGTGAAAACATGGGAACTGTCCAGCCACGTGACTGTAGTAGGCTTTGATGTTGCCTAGTGGGACTCAGCCATAAAGGACATGGTATTTTTAGAAGTAAATATTATATGTCATAATTCCATTGTAGAAGTTCCAGGATCCAATTCTGACTTACATGAGCACAACCCTACTCAATTCAGTGGTGATGCTTCTGTCATTGCAAGTAGGTAATTTGGCACTTGCAAAAATTACTTTGCCAGCAAACCGTTAGAGTGCAAGGAAAAGAGTAGAGAAAAAGACAACCAAGAAGCTTTGCCAGTTCCTTACAAAAACTTGGTAATTTTTGCTTCTTGAACACTCAGTACAGATTTGATTTAATTTCTTCCTGAGGTTGTTCTCAGCATTTGAACCTCCAGATGCCTATTCCTGTAAAAACTTTTTTAAAAAAAGGCATTTTAGTCATTGCTTTGCTTTATTCTGTAGTACAACTTTCCATATTTCTTTAAGTACCACCTCAGTGTTTGACTTGGCATCCAAAAATAAAATTGGTCTGGCTTCATAATCATTGCTAGTAATCAAGATCATAAAATTGGCATGTACCTGGTGATTTCTTGTATGCAAGAAGCAGAACAGACTAGAGCTTGCTCTTTTAAAATCACTGTCTCCTAGCTTCTGATAGCTAGTGAAACGATGCTTTGCTATTGGAGTATTTAAGCGTTGAGCCATTCTTAATCTGGAGCATTTTTATACCAATGATTATTTTAAAAAAGAAAATCTTCAAACCAGGTATCTTTTTTCCTAGAAGTTTTTTTAATTACTTCAAAAATAATGATTTCTACTTTTTAAAGGTAAGATTTCCTTTTGATTGAGATAATTTGATAATGCAATCTCATATTGTTGATGTTTAATCTCAGCTCTTACAGCTTTTTCATACGTGCCAGAATTTGCAAACTTAAGTTGCCTAATGATGTCCAACAGATACCAAATGCACTGTATAGGCATAAAGTACAGTGATTCCTGTGTATAAAGCCTACCTTAATGCCATCACTTACTTAAATTCAGTAGAATTTTAAGTGATACTAATTGTATCTCTGAATCTGCAGATTCTCACTATGGGGTGTACTCTTGCAATGACATACCAGGCAGTTATCTTAATTTATCAAAGGAACACTAAATCTTGTGAGCATATGTTTATTCCAGACTTCACAATGTACAACTACTTTTCCCAAGAAGTATGCATACTGTAGAGTACGTAGTGCTGTTATGATGTACTCTTGCTGTCAGCCCTATTGGCTGAGTACACCCAATATCCTTAGGGCTGGTGTCTAAGATAAAAACTAACCTTACAATGTTTTCAGATTTCTGTCTTCTTTCTGAATATAGCTTTGTAACATGGGCAGTATGTGTGTCTTTTTTACCAGTGATTGATAAAGCCTCTATTTCATGATTGATTATTTTCCTGACTGCCAAGTCACACAAACGGTTTTGGACACTGTGTACTTGCACATGCCAGGCTTTAAATCCAGCCATTCATGTTTTCCAAGTACAAAGCTATTTCCATTTGAAAAACCAAAGTTCTACTTAATCTCAGCATTGATCACAGTGTTGCTCCTCTGGTTTGAAAAGCAAAACAAATTAAATTCTGCAGCTTTATTTTAGCCACCACAGAGAACTTCTGAAAAGAAAGTGCTGCTTTAGCTGTAACTCAGTATCTGTCAGTAACATTAACAGGGGAGTGGGAGATTAAGGGAGCAGAAAATAAAGTTGAACTAACAGTCTTTCTTCTTTCTGATCACTGTCTTGCCAGATTTCACTTCATGCTACAGACCCCACATTGGAGTACACTCCAGAATCCGGACTGTTGCACAGACTGAAATGTTGGCAGGGTGCACATCTGTTTGGCTTGGCTCTAAATGCCTGTTCCAGTTTTTGTAAGGAACTGGCAAAGCTTCTTGGTTGTCTTTTTCTCTACTCTTTTCCTTGCACTCTCTAACGGTTTGCTGGCAAACAGGCAGGAAATATTAACTGAATTTGCAAAAGCTACTTGAGCAAGATGTTAAATTAGATTAAGGTGATGCTAATGGCTTTAACCTCTTGGTGCTACAGAGCTTGACTTTTTGACCCTAATCTGCTTTGCTAAAATTAACAATGAATGTGCTATAAAAATCTCATTTCCAAGCTCCAAGGGTTTATTTTGCATTTAAAGTTGCTCCAGAAACATTATTTTGACTGACATGAAAGAAGGATAAAAGATTTCAGCTAGCTGGGTTTTGTGGATGACTCTAAGGCTGACTTCTTTAAACCTTACTTGTCCAAGAAGTTTCACTCAAGGAAGCGAGGGCAGGAGGTGAATGTGGCCCTATATGTTTGGCAAGGGCCTACACTTCACTTAAACCCTTTACACTGGGGTAGCTGACAGCGTGCTGTCATAAATGTGGCAAGATTGCTCTCTCAAATCTATAAGGTGCTTTGTATAAAAGGCAATCTGTAACCTTGGTTATTCTGCAGTCTTTCTGCAGTGTTCAAAGATTTGACACTGGCATCCCCTGAGAAATTAAAAGTAGCAAAGTTTAAAACATCCTCCTGTTAGATTTGTGTTAGGGAAACTTGTAGGGTAATGTTCTCTGAGCACTCCCTTGGAATCTGTAATGAAGAGATTAATAAAAGCAAACTTGTTGGAAATATGCCATAAAAACTTGTGAACAGTTTATTATGTAAAGTGTTGTAGTCGTGGGAAATGCCTGAACTTGAACAAGCTGAGTTTTGTAGCAAAAACACAAAGGCAAAAGGCCTGGGGGATTTTTTTATGTTGCACTTAGTAACTAGCATTGAAATTCTTGGTCCCAAGCCATGTGATGCCAGTAGGCTTCCAGATCTCTACTTAGAACTTGAATGGTAATGAATAATTAAGTGTAATACATCATTATCTGTTTCGCCAAACTTCACTGTTCATGTGGGAAAAAGGTCTCTTTAGACAGAAATGGGATTATAATTTTTATTTAACATTTGTGAAAATGGGATTAGATTTCTGGCGTTATTAACATACATACCTCTGAGATTCACCCCTGCATCTTTGCTAGAGCAGCTGCATAGGGTGGATGCTACAAACTTTTGTGCTAACTGGCTCTTTCTAGGTCTTGACAGGCAGTTGTATAGTCAATGAACTAGCAGTCTTTGCAGCATGTCTGGGGATGCCCATGGGAGCCCTGCAGGGCTGCAGGAAACCTGCAGGACTTGTCCTTCTCTGGTACAAAGGATTAAGTTTGGTCCAACAGATTTGTGTAGCATTTGAATTTCAGGATACTTCATCTGTGTCCAAAAAACATTGCCTGCTTAGAATTGTCATAATTTATAAAATAGTCCAGATTCTGAGTTGTTAGTCTTAGGCACCCTAAAACCAAATATGACATTTTGTTGCTGGAACACTTTGTGAACTATTAAAATAGGACTACCATTTTTTCTGTTTTTTTAAAATAATCTGACTGAAAAATGTTCTTTCCTCTTGCAGTATTTATATCATGGGATTGGTACTGGAATGGATAAAGAATAATGGCGGAGCTGCAGCTATGGATAAACTTAGTTTAATCAAATCACGAATGATTTATGATATTATAGACAAATCTAATGGATTCTATGTGTAAGTTGCTATGCTTTTCTCCTTGGTTTCAGTATTTGTTGCAGAACCACACACATTCATAACTTTTAAGAGTCTGATTGCAGCATATTTTTAAAGTTACCTTTTCAGTATATAGAAATTTTGAGGAATCCTAGAGTCCTACAGGAATTATTTGTGCAAATCATTCACTTGATAACTATCCAAGGATGAGTCTCATTCCAGTAGGAAGTTACTTCAAGTTATCCTCTATAGATCAGGTGTGAAACATATTAATAACATATGTTCTAAACTTAATAAAATGCGGGAGCCTAGGAGAAGAGTATACAAAAACCAGATATGCAGATTCTGGTTTGTATGCTTATTGAATCTCTTGGGGAAATACAGGTCAAAACAGAGAAAGTGGCTTGTAAGAAGTTGTAGAGGCCACTTTTGCATCATATACTTCCTACCATCTCTCTCAGTAGTCAAAGACTCTGCTTTTTTTTCCTCTGTCAAGCAGAGCATTTCTATTAGCTAATTGTGTGAAGTTCTGAAACACTTTCTGAAATAGAAAGAGGAAGATCAGACCTAGATGTAGTCAAAGTGTAATACATTTTTTTACGTGCAGTTTATTTTCTTCAGTTATTTTTGATGGTTTTCCAAAGCAGATTTAACCCTCTGATTTTTACATATTGTTGCAAGGTATTTTTGAGCTCACAGGACCCAAAATATGTATAGTTAAAAGCTGATGTTGTAATTCAGAATAATTCTAATACTCACCAAGCTCAAAACCTAGTAATTGGCTATGAAACTGCAAAGTATTTTCCTTTACCTTCAGTATAAAATCAACAGTTTTGGGATCTAATTAACTTTCAAGTCAAAGTTAGGATAGGGCAAATTAAATTTGGGTTTTAAATTAGAGCTGGCTGCAACCTTAAATTGGCAGGGATATAGTTTCATCATAATATTGAATACATTCTGCTTATCCATTTAGTTAATGAGAACAGCTTTGCCTTTAGCATTGTCATGATCAGGATTGTGATCCTACTCTACTGAAATCCTGAGGGGTTTTCATAAACCTCAGTAAGCAAGTGAAGCCTTGAAAAAATATTTTGTGACAAATAAAAATCTGTTTCTGGCAAGCTGGCCTGTAAGGCTGTGGGTGGGAAATGCAATACAGGTGGGGCTGGTAAACAGGCAGTTGGGAAGGCAAAGCAAGCTTCACTAACTGAGCTGTATGCATCTTACTAAGCAATACAGTTAAGACTGTGGATTTTTTTATTGTATCTTATGTATCTAAAAGGAAGACTTATCTGAAGCTGCCTTCCCAGCTTAAACGTGCCACCTAATCTGTGGCATGCTTCACTGGGTAAGCAGTGTGGCAAGCCATTTAGTGAATGGAGACTTTCTTCCACAGCGTGCTGTGTGCCATTTGCAGTTTGTTTTCCAAAGTCTGTGCACTAACTGAGTTACATCAGATTGCCTAATAGCAACTGGATCTTCTAAAAACTATAGCATAGCTACAGTTATTCAAATATGGGAATACTTACAAGCATAGGCCTTCTTGAAGAGTGTTTTCTGGTTGCATCTGAAGCAGAAAATTTGAATAGGCAGATATTATGATTGATGTTTTTTCTCTTATAATGGAGACATCTGTACAAAGGAGCAAGGGAGGAATTAAAAAAGAATGATATCCATTCTTTGTCAAATAGAAGAATAATAGGTATGAAATTTACATGCAGTTTATGAGAACTTATTCCTAATGAATCCCCGCAAGAATCTACATCACAGCCTTAGGAAAGAATAAATTTGGAGGCTTCATATCTCTTCTGTAACTAGAAGCACTAAAGAAAAATATTTAAATCTTCTCCCCCCCTGCCGCGTTGTTACCTTCACAAAATAATTGAAGAGAAATTTTGCTTTAAATGTATCTTGACTTTACTACTGTAGATTAAAGGGAATGTTAAGAGATTAGAGCTGCAATGGACCACATCTGTTGTGGCCATGTATGCAATGCAAGATTTGTTCTAGAGATGTCTGTTCTCTACTTGAGATGTTCACGATTCTGAATAATGCTAGTCTAGAAGGTGGACTGAAACCACTAACAGAAGTCTCTCATGTCCATGGAAGTTTCATTATGCTATGTTCTTATACTTCCTTTAGCTCTGTTCAGCTGAGTCATGCTCAATTCCGGTAGCACTTGTGGCTAGCTGAGTAAACATGAGTGTGTCAGTCTTTAAGATAGAGAAGAAACTGCTTGAGACTTAGTCAAAGTTCACTGTAACTAACCTCACTTACCCTGGGGAGTGTAACTGAGACTGTCGTGGGTGGGATGGTGGCTTTTACTATGTTTTTTTAAATTAGGTCTGTTTACAGACCTCCTGTGTATTGCTCTGGGGCAATTTTGAGTATGTCAGGAAGGGTTAATAAGCCTTCCACTTACTGTTTCTGTTATTATACTTGGTTAAAAAAGGAAGGTTGCTTTCTTTCACAGAAAGTAATGATCTTTCCAATTATGAAGGAATGACTTTGGTGCTAAACAGATGCAATTATTCACTTTCTGAAATTGTATATAGCTGAAAATGTAAATTTAGGACAAAATGGGTTAATCATTACATTCTGCAACTCTTCTAGATGTCCAGTAGAGAAAAAGAACCGAAGCAGAATGAATGTCCCTTTCCGTATTGGCAGTATCAAGGGTGATGAAGCACTGGAAAAGAAATTTCTTGAGAAAGCTGTGGAACTTAACATGATATCTCTGAAGGGGCATCGGTAAGTATTAGTCAGATGAATCCCTTTCCTGTGCAAAATAAACCGTTACTACAGTGATACAGCAGCAGGCATTGTGCATTGACTTACCAGCCTTCCTTAGTCACAAGCTGTTCCTCATATTGGTTTGGCATCACTTGGGAATAGCAGTCTAGAGACAGTAATCAGACTGCTGGTGGCTCAACTGCTGCTTAGGTGTGGTGAGGCTCAGAGCTTTCTCCTTAATTTTGCTTTCTTCTCCAATTTGATAAATCTGGCTCTGTGCAAATGCCAGAGAAGGTGACTGTTGAGGTCAGATTCTGTCATTGTATAAAGCCTTTCATTACATGGCTTGTCTACCTGGTTGCAAGAGTTCCTTCCCATGTTCAGTGGTGTTTGTGGGATTAAAAAAGATAGCTTTTTGATGTCACAGGGCTACAGCATTGGAGCTGTAAATAACTAATAAATACTGAGTTTCTCTAGACTGCAAGCTTGCCTTGAAGAATTAAACGTTGCTTGTCATTCACACAAAATGTGAATTTTATCCCTTTGGAGTAGGGTTAGGTTTAAATGTCTGTGAATGTTATTAATGTCTTTTTTAGAATTTACAAAACCTTTCTATTTTTTTCTCCCCTCCTCTTTTCAATTCAGATCTGTGGGAGGAATCCGTGCCTCTTTGTATAATGCAGTGACTGTAGAGGATGTTCAGAAGCTTGCAACATTCATGAGAAGCTTCATGCAGATGCATCAGTCATAAATGCCCATGGGCTAGAGCCATGCTGCACATCTATGAAATAAAAGCTAAAGGGTTTGAAAGTTACTGTGGTACTGCACAGCTGTAGCACACAAGTTATATTTTCTTCTAGTTCCTGTAGCTATTTTAGTTAACTGCATGGGATTGAGTCCCAGTCTTGCAATGACTTGGCAGCCTTGGCTTCACTGAAGGTGAGGATCCCCAGACTGATCAAGATTGGTTCCAACATTTGCAAAACAGTATTCTTAACGTGTAGTTAAAACATGAGTAGTATTGTATAATGCTATGGATCTGAGTCTTTCTTGCTTCTAGTCACAAATAACTTCTTCAGCAATGCCTTGTTTTCAGTAAACTTCAGGAGGCAAAATTTGTCATAAGTGTTCTGTAATGCTTTATAAATACTCTGACTGCACAGTGAAGCCAGAATTAACGTTAGGTGTTCTCTAAGGATATCTGATTGGTTTATCAGATATATTCCAACAGTATACCACCAGCAGTATTTAGGAGTTAATAGCCATGTTCTTGACTTGAGGACCTTGCCTTCAGACTTATGCTCCCATGCTTGAAGTACTATCATAACAGTTCCATGTAGTAAAATCATTTAACCATTGTGGTTAAAGTCTCTGTAGGACTGGGCCTTTTTTTGTGTTATCATTTATTGGTTTAAAGCTAAGATGCATGAGTCTGTAATTAAATCACTTTATAAAATGTTTATTTCTCTATGCATTTTGTGTATTAAGCTCTCTCTAATTTTATATTCTTATTTTGGACTGTGCATATTTGCTCCTGCCAAAAACTTTTTAATTTGTTAACCTTGTGCCAAACTGGATTGCTGTATTCCACTCAATGGATCTGTGACTTTCTCTGCACTGCTTCCTAGCAGCAGACTTTCTTGTCTGGTGCTTCTTAAATGTCTTCCCTCTCTAATGCTCCAGTATTTTCTCTGCCTTTTCATTGCTTCAGTTCTGTAGCTTTCTGTATGTGGGGCTTTGCCCAGCTGCAGTAAATAAGTCTTAACTTCTCTGCCTGTTCCTGACACTACATGCTTTAGGTCCAACTTCCTCACTTGATCCTTCTGGCTTATTCCAGACTTTGATACTCTGGGCTAGAGAAGGAAAGCTCTTACAGTTATGCAAAGATCTTGAAGATCTATTATAGTACCCTTGAGTTACTTTTCCTCCTCAGCTTGTGAATTTACTGCCAATGACCATTAGCTGCCTATTTTAACTTGTGTAGAAGCTATCTGCTAGTATCATAGTATTTAGTGTTACTGCAGCTGGTTTCAGACTGTAAACTCTGGTAAAGGATTGGGATTTTCTGATTTTTATGTAACACTGTACATAAATACATAAGTACAGTGATAACAATTTAATAATGATGGACTGTCCCTTTCTTGGTGGGACCTCACAGCAAGTCAGTGGATTTGTGCTACGGTTGAGTTACATTCCTGTCTGAAAAGTCATCATTTTATGAATACTGTTTTGAGATTTTTGTCACTCAGTGACAAAAATCAGTGTTACTCAAAGTAATTAAACAAATCGGGTGAAGAAAATAAAACTTTATCACAGCATGCTGTGAAGTACCAGTGTATCTGAAGCTTTTGTTTTTGTCACTTCCAGAAGGATGAGAATTCATGCATAATGTGTGTTAGAATTTTAGATTCCAGTATCATCCTTTTTCCTAAAAGCAAGCTTCCCTCATTTATGTCTTATTTCTTTCTGAAAATAGTCTTCCTACAACGAGCATGGAAACAAGAGTATTATTATGAGAAGGCTTTGAGAACCCTTTTTGCCTTGCCAGTCATGAAGGTCTAATTCGGGTTTTATATTAAGCTTTTTCACTTTCTAAAATTCTACTTCCTCTGAATTTTGTGTGCTTGTTTTCAACAGTAGCCATGGCTTATCCTTCTTTACAAAAGTCAGTAAGACTTTCTAGTTTATAATAGCCTTGCATTCCCCTTAGCAGGCACACTTTTATGTGTGATTACAAAAAAGCTTGCACTGCTGTATGCAGCTGATTCATGAACCCAACAGGGAACCTCTTTGCTGCTTCTGAATTGTGCCTAACATGTTGTCCATTAAAGACTTTTTTTACCCTAAAACGCAAAAATCACGTAAAAGCAAAATGCAGAGTGAAGACTACATTAGCAGGCAGTGATTGACTAAATATCATGTGAGGGGGATGCAGGAATACTGGGAAGACTGGAGCATGTGCTGAATGAATTAGTTACTTGAGATTTGTTTCAGACTCATCCATGCAACAGTTCTACCCTTCCAAGCTGCATCCCTGAAAGACGTGATCAGGGTATTGAGTCATGGTGGACAGAGAAATCCCGCCTCTCCTCATCTGATTAGTGGGAGGAATTTCGGCAAGGGGCTGTTGAGAGTCCTGGTCTGTTTCACTTATGTCAACACTTCCAAGCTGGATCAATAATTGCAGTGTTTCGAAGTAGGGTTTTTCTTGGTGTGATATGAATACTCCCGAGGCATTCAAAGGTGTTGAAATACAGAAGTAAAATACTGGTCTTATCTGAGTCTGTGCATGTAGAGAGGGAATTGTAAGATGAGCTCTTTTCAATGAACAGTGCTTTCAATTACTCTTCTAGTGAGTTGTCTCTATTACATCTCCTAGCTTTTGTGTTTGATTTCACAAAAGCAGTTGCTAGCATTCTCTTCAGTTTGTAGTATAAAAGGCCCTGGCCACTGTCTTTCCCAGGCGTGGCCTAAAAAGAGAAAGCTGCCAAGGAGGTTGTGCACTCCCTCTGTTCCTGCTCTGCACAGCGAGGAGTGCTTTAGCCCAGGTGAGAAGAGCTGTAGATCAGGAAGCTACCCTGTCCCAGGGGACTCCTGTCAGTTGTCAACAGTAGGGTCTTTCCATGGCAGTTGTGGTACCGTCTCTAAGCCTGGCACAAAAGAAGTAAATAAAAATTGGAAGTCTGGATTACCACATCCTTATTTAAGTAGTAATTCTAGTGGAGATAAATAATTCATATGGACAGCAGTGTGGAGAGTCCTTACCCTGTGTCAGCTGACACTCTGTATTTTCATATTTTTTTCCTGTTTCTGTTTAATCCTGTTTTTCTTTTCAGCTTGTAACTGGCTTAATATTTTTAGATGTACCCAGGGATGTTTGGATGTGAAAAGTTTAAGCCTATTCTTGACTTTCAAGTAAATGTTTGGAGTGAAATAGGACTAAAAGACTGATAATACACTGATGGATTAGAAGTTGTCAAAGTATGCTGAAAGCATTGTTAGGTCTGGCACTATATTGGTGTATGATTAAAGTTTGCTGTATTTCATTCTCTGGATAGAAAATAAAATGAGGGTGAACCTCTTCGTATTTGATAAGGATGTACCTAATTAAAAAGTGAAATGTTACAAGGTTTTACATGAAATCAGTCACTTTAATTGGAAGGAGGTATTCCCATTTCTGTTGGTAATTGGACTCTTGATAATTTAAAACCAGGACTCGTGACAGTCTGTGATAAATTGGTTCCTTTTTAGGCTAAAGAAGCTAAGAAGTTATAATTACCAATGGATTACTGAATGGTTGGAGGAGTGTGATCAAAGAGATGTAAGGAAATATATAGAAGAGCTGGTAGCTTGTGAGGATGTATTTATTTTTTTTAAGTAGCTAAGGAATAATTGTGTATTTGATGTGACAAAAACAGAAGCTGTACTGTCTCTGAAATCCCAGAAAATTTGAATTCAATCTCCTACCTTTGCACTATGCATAAAAAACAAAAATTGAGTATTTTAGTAAATGGATTAATAACAAAAAAGATATGAAGAAGTCAGGTGAGAAGTTGAAATTTGCTAAACTATTGTAAGAGAAATTACCATTAAACTGCTTAGAATTTATAATACAGTGAACAAATCTTTGTCTTAGTTCCATGATGTAAACTGAAGACATTTGAGAGACATATTGCTAAAACTAGGGATGGTAGTAACAAACACTTCTTGCTGTATAACTGAATAAATATTTTTTTCCATAGTGTGAGCAGTAGTTTTTGGACTTGAAACAAACTGTATGAAACTTTCAAACTCTGGTGCTAGGTTTTGTAGCTGGGCAAACCAGAACTGAAGAATTATAAAAGCTGGAAAACTTAGTTCTCGGCTGTCACTGCCCTCCCAGCATAGGGTCACACTGGCTCATGGCTTTTCTTCCCTACCAGTGCAGCCCCAGTCATGCTGCTTTTGGACACCTTTTTATTGTGAAAACAGACTTCCTGCCTTAGCGCTAGGCAGGTGTTAATGCTTGTCTCAGTTGTGATTGTGCTTCACCTGATGTCCCAGTACTCTGAGTTGTATGTCAGGTCTGGTCCCTCCATCAGGACTGAAATTAAAGGTTTTAGCTGTGGAGATATTTCAGTCAGTCACCTAAACTGTAACTCCTCCTTCTTGGTATGGCATGGAAGCTTGTCTTCAATTCCCTAAATCTGGCTGGTGACATGAAGTAGTTTGAGGTAAGACAGGACATAGCTCTGCTGTCAGTATGTATCACCCTTTCTCTTGCCGCACCATAGGACCCCTCACACCACCAGAGCAATGTGCTCTGTGACTTCTGTAGGAAGCGTTGAACCAAGGTAGTGGTGAAGTATGTGCAGGGTAAATGCTGGGTGACAGGTGGTGAATAGGAGGATGTATTGCAAGGCTTTGGAATTAAGTTGTATAAACCTAAAGGAGACGAATAGAAACAGAAGAAAAATATTAAGAGAGTAATACAAGATAAAGTTGTTATTTTGGAGTAGCCATTTTACCTATTGCTGTGTGAGTTAGAATCACTTTAAGAGGTAGCCCTCTGCCTTGCTCTCCTGCCCTCCTCCTCCAGGAGGAGTACTGCTTATTTTGTGGCTCCATGACTACTAATGTCACCATAAGGAATGTAGCAAAAATGTGGCTGGGGTGGGAAGCATGGCAGAATGCACCTACATATGTCAGTTAAATGACAGGGTAGAACTACCCTCTCACTTTGCATGCACAGCCACACAATGTACCCCCAAAGTGTAATTTACTTGATCCATATTGTAACGATAACTGCAGATGAACAAAATTCTCTGTTCAATTACTTTTTTTACATCTCTGTTACAATCGGAGAAGCAGTCCCATTGTGTTCTGAATGCCCTCTAGCACTGGTTTTAATTACAGCATTACTTTGAAAGGAAATTGCTTGTTTGACAGCACTAGCCAGAATCTTTAACTGGCAGTTGAGTGTACATTTCAGTAAGTGAAAAATAATCTACTGTATTACCAGCAAACCTTTAGCTTTTTCATGCAAAATACATGAATTCGTGTGTACAGTAAGCCAGAATACTACTTCTATCCCTACCACATTTGGCATGGAGAAGGCAACCACATATCTAGGATTCTGACACTAGCTCTCCACCAAGTTTTGTTTGGTTTGCTCTCACTACTGGTTGGTAGATGCTCTGAACCACACCTGAATGAAAAAACCCCCTATTTTCTACACGTGAGGGAATGCATCCCCAAATCAGCCACAGATCCTTGAAGTTTTAAAAGAGATCACGTATAGGTGAATATTGGGTACCCTTGTTTTTGTGAAGTTTTAATTTGTGTTCTGATCGTGTTGATTCCATGATTTTTACATATAGACTGAAATGTGACTTACTTATCCAATATGGAAACAGTTCTACAGTTCTTCCATGGATATTGCTTTCAAGATGTTAAACTCTGATGAAAAAAATCTCTGCATTGGTTGTGTATGAAATGATGCTCTTGTGAGACCCCACCTGGAGTACTGCATCCAGCTCTGGAGTCTTCAGCACAAGAAAGACCTGGACCTGTTGGAGCGGGTCCAGAGGAGGGCCACGAAAGTGATCAGGGGGATGGAACACCTCTCCTATGAAGAAAGGCTGAGAGAGTTGGGGTGGTTCAGCCTGGAGAAGAGAAGGCTCTGGGGACACCTTATTACA